CTTGCGCCTTTGAACGGACCCAAGACAACCGCAATGCGTCTGTTGTTTTCCTGATCACGCCAGGAGCCCGCCACTATCGCCTCAGAAGTTGCACTCGCAACTCAGCCTGCTTGGCTACAACTTCATATCTCCCATCAGGAGAGCAACATCTCATTCTTGAAATCCAGTCTCATAGCCGTATCGATCCCCCCAGATTCATACCCGTGGCTTCCAATCATCGTCCCTTCGTGAAGGATCGTTTTGGCACTCCGGCATCGATAGGCTGCAACAGCACACCATGGCTCCTTCAGCAGTGCCGACCGCTGCGAATCAAGAACTTGTGAATGAAAGCTTTGATGGGCATGGCAATGGACATACGAATGGAACCAACGGTCAAACCAAAGACAGCGCATCTGACTTCTCATACCCTCCCTCTATTCAGCCTGATGCCCCTTATCGAGTTCTGAAGCAGTACCACTCAAAGCCTACAAAGCTGCGAGTGGCATGCATCGGAGCTGCCGTCTCAGGCATGTGCCTGGCTTACAAGATGGAGAAGCAGATGGTGCCTGGCTCCTGGGAGTTGACGCTGTAAGCTTCACCCGGAAGATGTGGACGTTGCTGTTCTAACGCGCTATAGCTTCGATAAGAACCCGAGACTAGGCGGGACATGGCTCGAAAACACGTACGTTTCGCCGATGGGTATCGACGCTACTATGGCTGACTCTCGATGGTAATAGATACCCTGGTGTCGCCTGTGACATACCGTCCCACCTCTACACGTTCTCATGGGACCCCAAGCCCGATTGGACCGAGTACTACGCCAGCGGGAAAGAGATCCTCGAGTATCTAGAGGATTTTGCCGATAGACATGGCTCTAGGAAGTACATGAAACTCAACACCAAAGTCGTCGAAGGTCGTTGGGATGAAGAGAAGGGGCTGTGGTGCCTGACGCTCGAGGATCAGATCACCAAGGGGACGTGGCAGGACTGGTGCCACGTGCTGGTCAACGGCAGTGGTATCTTGAACAACTGGAAATGGCCAGACATTGAGGGCCTGCATGACTTTGCTGGGCCCAAGATGCACTCTGCCAACTGGGATCACTCGATCGACTTCAAGAACAAGAACGTCGGAGTAATAGGGACTGGTAGCACATCGGTCCAAATCGTTCCTGCGCTTCAGAAGATTTGCGACAAGGTCCAGGTGTTCATGCGCTCGTCCACTTGGATCTCGCCCCCATTCGGCGGCGGTGTTTTGGAATCGGAGCTGCGCAAGGACGGTGATCCAGGACACAGGCAGTACAAGTTCACCGAAGAAGACATCAAGAGGTTTCGAGAAGATCCGGAATACCACTTGATGTTCCGAAAGCGCATCGAGGCCGAGATCAACTCATTGTTTGGCATGTACCAGCAAGGCTCGGAAATGTCGGACCTGATGAGAACCGTCATAACCGATGAGATGAACCGGCGCATTGGCGATGGGCCTGGGAGCGAGGAGTTGAAGAAGTTCATCATTCCTGACTGGGCACCTGGTTGCCGGCGAATCTCACCCGGCGACGGGTACCTCGAGGCCCTGGTCCGACCCAACGTCAAGCCCGTCTTTGGTAGAATCAGGAAGGTGGTCCCGGAAGGAATTGTCACAGACGACGGCGAGACGCACAAGATGGACGTGCTCGTGTGTGCGACTGGCTTCAAGGTTGCCTTCCGACCCGCATTCAAGCTGATCAACGAAAGCGGGCAAACACTTGACGAAGATTGGGGCGACAGCGTCAACCTTTACTTTGGCGTATCTGCGCCGCGGTTTCCCAATTACTACACCATCGTGGTAGGTGGCAATGATGCGCTGCTGCATGCAGGTGTGGACTAACAACACCCACTAGGGCCCCGGTGCAACATGGTCATCAGGCACTCTCCTGCCGTCCATCGAGACAACCGTCGAGTATTCAATCAAGATGATGAAGAAGATACAGCATGACAACATCCGGTCAATCGATGTAAAGCAGGAGGCTGTAGACGACATTTATGGCCACTTTGACGAGTTCCACTCCAACACGGTCTTCCAAGAAGGGTGCCGAAGCTGGTTCAAGGACGGCAAGAAGAAGAACCGCATTTACCTGTGGCCTGGCTGTGTAAGAATAAGACTAGATCCGCGTCTCGCATGATTTTGATGATGAAATGGGTACTGATTTCGGCGGCTCTAGACCATCCACTTCCTCAAGACAATCAAGGACCCTCGGTTCGAAGATTACAACATCCGATACCGGTACGGAAACCGGTTCGCCTTCCTTGGCAACGGTGAAGTGAAGGCGAACACGACCAAGGATGTGAAGGGGTTGAGCACATATGTGCGAGACGCCGATGACGATTGGACTGTTGAGTGAATGGACAGCTTGGAGAGCAGCATCCCGCCGGGCAGCCAGATGCGGGGGTGGGATATGACGATGCTGTTGTGTCTCGGCCAGATACTGCTCGAGAAGAAGCAGGAAACTTGAAAGGGAAAGGGACACAAGGTATATGTAGGTAGGTAGGAGTGGGTGCTGCGTGTGGGGGCACATGTGTCACACACATCTGTGGCCTGGTGGCTTCACTTGAGCAGGAGTCAACCAGGCCAATGTGCAGCCTGATGAACACACTTAATTTCAATACGATTCAATCACACAAGATGCATCTCGAGTGCTACAAGAGAACTTTCTCGTCAACTAAGAGGGGTAGAGCAGACTCACCTAGTTAGGTGGGTAGGCGAACGAGGTAAGGTAGTGAGAGAGTGGGTGACAACACATATGCTGTAATGCGAGACGGATACGAACGACGGACCTCTCAACTACCGGCATATCATCGGGCGTAAAAGAGGACGGGCAGCAAACGAGTGGTGGCTGCGAGGCAGCACTTCGGTTCAGTGGGTGAGTGGTTGCGCACTGCTGGCGTCGGAGACTCAAGAGTAGGTAGGTTGGTTGCATGAGGTGATGGATGGACGGGATAAAAACCGCGACGCGACGCGGAGGTGCACCTGGTGAGTGTGGGCGGGGACGAGCGCCCTGCAACACATTTTGATTGGCTCAACAGCCTATGGTCGGAGTTCAGGGTCCACCTGAGTCAGGCCCTTCGAGGTCGCATCTCGCTCCTGATTCAACTATCCGTCATGGTCTGTGCTTCGGCACGACACTGAGTGTGGACTACCCACACGCTTGGCACCACGACTGGAGGAGATAGAACGGATTTGCGCCGGGTGGGCCACGTGTCTGATTGGCCCCAACGTCTCAGAACGAACCCCACCCCACGACCTCATCACTAAGGTAGTGTACCTACCTAGGTAGTGTCAGGTTGCCTTTTTCGACCTCAGCACCTCCGCTCGTTCGCTCTCAGCTCCCCCAGTCGTCAGTCGTCAACTCTTCTTCGACTCGCACGCCACAGCCTTCATCGAGGGTAGTTAGGTGGTAACACAAGTCTGACTGACAGGGACCGGCTTTGAAGCCTTTCAGCCAATCTATCCCAACCAACCAATTCAACTCCCTTCCCCTGGGCCACCTCACTCATCCAGCCGACGGCTGCCCCTCCCTCCCCCCTTCCCTTCCCCCCGTTGCTTGGAGAAAAGAGCCGGGGCAAAACCTCACTACCGCGGCCATCTATCGGCAATCCTCCTCGTCTCATTTTGCCCTTTTCCTTTCCACGATACCGGTCAATACCTGCACTTTTCTAGTTCTGGAGGAACAGGTGGATCGAGCGACCACTTCCCCGCACTCAACGTGCCCTACCTTAGTGTCCCTCCCCCCTCCAGACCTTTCCTCCTCTCATCCCCATGCAGCAGCCATGTATGTCCATTACCTTTACCTAGTCTACAGAGAACCAGCCCCCTCTCCCTCATCTCGTTTGTATCCCCCGTACGACCGGTCCAGTATCATAGCGCCCTCAATGATCCACTCATCCCCAGACCATCCGCAATGGGGGCCATGTCAGACTGGCCTTGCTCCTCATTGAAATCCGGGGTAACAGCAAGGGTTGTTTCCCTTAGTCGCGTTCCAGCCTCAATCCTTCAAACCCCACTCCAGAGACACTTGACAGAACCAACAATACGTAGTCAGGTCAAGGTCTGCTCCGAAGCCCGAGTCTCATTGCCTTAGTTGGCCTGGGGTAGGGCCCGGAAGTCGGAGCCTCCCCGGTGCCCTGTCTGCTCCAAGGACAACAATCCAAGAAACAGGCAGCCCACCCAGCCCGTCTGGAGAAGCAGCCTGTCTCATAATCTTTTCTGCTCATGCAACTACGTCTGCACCAGCCCCATCCCACCGCATCTTAGCTAGTTCGGGGTCCCCAGACTTTCCGCCTGCTCTACTACCTACGCCGGCAACCCTCTCTTGGGATAAACAAGTGGAGCGAGCCATGGGGGGAGAGGAGGGGCCGCATCCACAGGTACCGCATGTTCGTCGTCACAGCGGGGGAAACCCGCCACACCCAAACATTCTTTTTATGCTGGACCTGAGCAACTCCTCTGCTCCTTTTGTTGGCTCTTCAATTCCACCTCTGAATTTCTCATTCAAAACAGATACTGAATCTGTATCTTCTCTTTGCCGCCCGGCTTTCCAACCTGACGCCTGCTGACCTGACCGTCTCTCACACCCTCTAAACCTGGCATCGATCGCATGTGACTGCACGAATAGGCTCAAGTCCCCGCCGAGATCAAGCTGCGTGACCATGGCAAGTCCGAAGGGAGAAGGAAAAACCTCCACGGAACAGGCTGGCGTTGCTGCGCAAGAGAATGTCTCACAGCGTACGCAGTCGTCCCGTCAGGCAAACAAGCAACAGGTGAGGCATCGGGCATCTGTTGCCTGTGCATCATGCCGCGATAGGAGAATCAGATGCGTCGTACCCAAGGGCGAGTCCGAGTGTGTGCAGTGCAAGAAAGCAGGGAATGAGTGTATAATCAAGAATGACGATGAGAGAAGAAGGTGCGCTCAACCATCCAATATATGACCACTGCCAGAATATCCTTGAACCTAACCCGTGTCCAATAGGCCTATATCCAAAGCCTACATGTCTTCCTTGTCGGATCGCATCTCTATGCTGGAGGGAATGTTGCTGGAAAAAGGAGTCGCACTTCCTCCTGCCGCCCACCCCCCCAAGACAAGACACGAGGCTCAACCAAAGACCTCCGAAGAGGAGCGAAAGCATCATGGCACACAACAGAAGGCTCGCGAGTCATCCGAAAGATCACCTCAAGCAGAAGTACCCTCCCCACCAGACTCTGCTAATGAGGACTACACGATGCAAGACAGTGACCGCGCAGATAGCGCTCATGCCGACGGACCAGTCCCTGCAAGCCAGATCTTCCAACCGCTGCCGAAGGAGCAGTCTCCATTCCGGATGCTGGACCCAAAACAAGAAGACATTGTCCATCGCCTTCTCTCAACAAAAGGAAACCTCTCATTCGATCAACTGTCTGGGCGGCTACGTTTCTTCGGGCCCACTGCCAACTCACATGTATACGCAGAGCCCTCAGATCAGTTTGATTTCCGCGAACCTCCAGAGCAAGTCCGACGAGCCGAGCGCATGATCAGGTCCATCACGGCAGAAACTCACGATTATCTCATGGACAATTTCTGGACTCATTATAATTCAGTGCTGAAAGTCGTACACCAGGAGGCTTTCGATGCCGACAGAGAGTCGCAGAACCCAAAGTTCTACTCTTCGTTTCTTCATATTTGCATCCTTGCCATGGCGTTTCGTTTCGCAGACGCCGACAGGGATGACATGAAGAGAATTGCGTTGGGCGGTCGAGAGAGTACGCTGCATCGGGAGGCCAAATATATGCTCGATATCGAGCTCGAACGCCCCGGCGGCATCCCCAGCGTGCAAGCCCTCCTGCTCCTCGGCGATTTGGAATGCGGTGTCGGCAGGGACAACACCGGCTGGATGTATGCTGGTAAGTCAAACGCGATGCATCTTGCCAGCACCACGGACTAATGTGCTATGAAGGTATGGCGAATCGTCTAGCATTCGACATCGGCCTTCATCTTGACTGTCGTAACACTGGGATCAATGAGCAGGAAGTTGACATTCGTCACATGGTCATGAGAGCCTGTGTTATTTACGACAGATACTGGGCATTGTTTCTGGGTCGACCAACGAGTATCAAAAACCAGGATATCGGAATGGATTTGCTTTCACGCCGCTTTTCTCAATTGACATCGTTGATGGGTGGGCCTGGCGCTGCTCACAAGAAGAACATCGCTGCCGAGGTTTACGACCAGCTGATAGAGTTGATGGAGCTTGCGGGACGAATCGTTGAGACTCGAGAAGTACGAAACAAGCAGCGGGGAGATGGCACAGACAATGTATTCAACACCAACGAAGGCGAAGATAACGCATACTTGCACGCTATAAATCTCGACCGACAACTTCAGAATTGGTATAGGCGGCTCCCTGAGCATCTGCAATGGAAACCATCAGCTATCAAGAGCGCGCCTTTCAGCTATTTCCTCTTACATCAACAGTACCACGTCTCCATGATCCTACTGCATCGTCCTTGGGCCAAATACGGAGCCATTGCTAGCGACGGCACCAGCACAGGATCGCATCCGAGCCCAGCGTCCGCCTCCGAACCCAAAGATGTCCTCGACCAGCACCCCTTTTCTCTGCCCATCAACTCCCCGGGGATGGCAGATCCTCATGCTATGGTGGATGACAGCAGAACAGCACTGTCACGCAGCATCTGCACACAGCAGGCGATTCGTGTGGCACGCATTTTCTGGCAGCATCGCCAACGTTTCGACGGCCGCAAGATCTTCGTCACCGGGATTCAACATGCCGGCACAGCTGCGATCGCCTTGATAGCTGCGCTAGCCTACAATCACAGCGAACCAGATAGGCGCACTTATCTTGGGTATCTCGAAATTCTTTCGAGTGCCGTCAGCGATATGAGCCATACGTACCAACCAGCATCCCGCATGGATGACCTTCTCAAGGCTGTTTTGGTCCAACTTCGAGCTGATATCAACGACTACAACGATGGGATCCAACCACCAATTACCTTGTCGGGTAGCGATAAGAGCCTGCTATCCAGTTCAGGGTGGAGAGGAAATATGGATACAATCTACTCCATCTTGCCAGCAAGGCGTGAAGCGGACGCTGGCAGTAGCCAGTCTCACAAAAGGCGCCGTCCATCCACAACCAGCCGCAGGGCATCGGAGTTCACCCGTCCACCACCGCCGTTCTTCCTTTCCCAGTCAAATACAATAACATCGCGGGCTTCGGGCCATCGGTCGGCCGGTCAGCATCCCCCAATCGACCCAGCAATGTACTCCTCGGGTAGCGGTGACATGCAAGGCTTCAATTTGGATTTCCTAAACGGCTCGGCGATTGAGGCTGACCTTGATGATGCCTCGGATGGCATGTTGAGACCATCTGAAGACTTCGTGCTCGTTGCTTCTCAATCAGATGGATGGACACTCGGCGGGTTGAACGCAGAGAACACGGCCCAACACGGCGAAGCTGCGTATGACGGGACAGGCCTGGGCGAATGGGCTTCAGGAACAACTAGACCGAACGCAAGCTCCAAACTCGGCGGTTCAGATGCCGTCTCATCGGCTGCACGTGACAACGGGCGGGGGGATGGCGGGGGAAAAGAGGGCGGCGCAGCTGTTCCGCGGGGGCTCTTGAGCGAGAAATTGAATCAAGGTTCATCTGTAAGTGCAGGAGACGAGGCTGACAAGTCTCAACCTCTCAACTCGCTTGACTCTGGAAGCATGGATTGGATGGGCAGCGAAGGTGGACTGAACGCGCTGAGTCCAGTCAGCTTGAGTGGATTGGTGCAGAGCGCAATGCCGGATAAAGGAGAAAGCGAGTCTTCTGCGGTCAACAGAAACCATGAGCTAGACTTCTTCAGTTTTTGATGCGACGGGCTCGTGCACGCTAGCAGTCTGGCGATGTTTGTGTACGGTAACTACGAGTTGTGTCTCGCAGACTACGGTTGGCTTGTTATTTCATCTGTTTTTCAACGGGTAGGGGTTTGGGAGTTCCGGCGTATCGAGGGGGTTTCCAGGGATTCGAACATAGGCAAGAGACGTGTTTTACACCATGAGAGACGTGATCTGAGTTCCGAGAGCTATTGGACCGTAAACCCTCCGTCGACCACCAGGCCGGCGCCTTGCATGAAGCTGCTCATATCAGAAGCAAGAAATGTGATGCAGTCTGCTATTTCCTCGGATTTCGCCATGCGGCCCAAAGGTGTTCGGCTGATATCTCGGGCAAGGGGGGATTCGGCATCCTGGGCCATTGTTTCAAGGACAAGCGGTGTTTCGACGTAGCTATTGGACCTCATTAGCGCCTGACCCATCAAACGACTCGTCTTGGACCTTTTCACCCTGGGCAGATTGCGTTGATGCGGATTGCTTTTGGACCGTATGTGTTGGCGTCAGCTTTCGTCAAACCAAGCACTCCTGAGAGAACGCTTTATTAGTAACTTTGAAATATAGCATGGGAAAGAGCGCGACTCACCATGCTTTGCGGTTGTGTATGCTGTATGCGACATGAATCGAGACGGCGATATGATGCCAAACATGGATGCCACGTTGATGATGGTACCACGACCTTGACGGGATCCCAAATCTCTGTCACAGACACCACAAATTTAGCATTGGCATTGGTATTCGAATCTGTAAGACTTACTCTTGGTTTAGCATGGCATTGATCTCTTCTTGCTGGCAACGCCACACGCCATGCAGGTCGACATCGAGAACTTTTGTAAACTCGGCTTCATCGATCTCATGAGTGGCGCGCCCACTGCCTCCAATGCCGGCATTATTTACAGCAATATCTATGCGGCCGAAGGCGGAAATGGTTGCGGCAATGCCAGACCTAATCTCAACAGCATTTTGAACGTTGAGGGATAAAGGGAGAAGCTTGACAGCAGGATAGCGGCGGCGGAGGAGATCAGTGGTGACGCTGAGGGTCGCCTGGTTCATGTCCGCGAGTGCCAGGCGATTGATGCCGTGCTTTGCAAAAGCCAGTGCTGTATGCTGGCCGATACCTATGATGCTTATCAGTATGAAGTTATTCGCTCTCAAGACCCAATGATGGAGCTAGCTTACCAGAAGCAGCACCAGTGATGAATGCGGTGCCGCGGAGAAGAGATGCCATTTCCAAGGTGATTGTTCTGCTGAACGAACCTCATGCTGGAAGAGGCGCGTCCGAGACCAAGACGCCTTAAGAGCACTGACACCTTGACGGGTGCTCACACCCGGTTGCTTGCTCCCCTCCCTTCAGACATCCTTATGGGTTGTTTGGAGCAATGAGACTGCACCAATCAATTTTACTGCAGCTGAACTGAGGTCGGATTCCTGAGCTGAGACAAAAACGCATCGGTGGATTTGTGATCCGGATGGACTGCGGGGTGGGCAAAGGCATCGGGTGAGGATATCCGGAGGAGGCCGGGCTCCGGGGCCCGGGTCTTCGGCGCCGCAAAGTCATCGATAGGCATTGCAGCTATTTGTACGGACCGTGGCATTTAACTGTGTATCTTCTGATCGAATCTCGCAAAACCCAAGTCAAACCACAACAAGGGATGCACATTGTCTAATGAGATGGCTGGGGGTACAGATGGCACGGCTTATGCACCAACGGGGCAATATGAGCTGGTGTCACATCCTCTGGGCTTTTCCATTGCGCTTTTCCCGTATCTGTATCTGGAGCGACGGAAACAGCGTGTGCATGGGTACACCGCCAAGTTTCGAGACGAAAATAATTGAATTGGAAGTAGTGTAGAATGAAAGAAGCTATCAGCAAAAAGGAGACAGCTCTCCGGACTGTAGGGGGGACCCCCAGCTTCTTGCCGTGATAGAGTTTGTACTGTGCAGCTGCATTACGCCCGTCACCTCCCACCTCCCTGGGCAGGCACAGTGCTGCTGGACCAGCTCCCCGGAGCTCTCTGCCCGGTGGCCCACTGTATGCGGGCACGTGGGGTGACGAGGTGCTGCACAGACAGTGTGAGGTCATACCCTCAGTCAACGGGCAAGCATTGGATGCCTTCGCCTTTCTTTGGCTTCACCATTGCATGCCGTGCTCACCTTACCTGCCTTACCGTGCCTCGCCCTGTCTGGTGTTTTGGCACTGTACTCGTGACACCTCGCCGCCGACGACAACAACGACAGGAACAATAACCATAGCTGAACTGCGCTTCCACACACAACCACACACAATACCTACGCGTCCTTCGCATCTCCACCATTGTCGCCGTGCCCCTGTCCGCGTCCCTGACAACCAGCGCACCGACCAGATACCGACCGCGACGCCTTCACTCTCCTCCGCACCTGGATACGTCGAGTACTTCAATCTTGCGCCTTCCCCCCAAGTCGGCCATGGTTCACGCCTCTTTGCTGGTCTGACGACCTAGTATGACAACCAACCTGACCGAGTTACAATGTCGCTTATACCATACCATCCGCGCGAGGGCCGCGAAATCGTTCTGTGAGTTTCTCTTCCGCCTTGGGCGGCGTGTCTTTGCTGACGTCCGTGTTTAGCCGTCACCGCAATGCAATAGTAGTTCGCGACCCCTCTTCCCAGCGACTAGAGATTCGAGGCCTGTCCGAATGTCCTACATGCCGACAACCTTTGCGCTCCTCCTCCCCCGATCGTCAATTCGACAGTGCGCGCCACCACGATTCCTTCGTTGACCCCAACTACTTCCGCATGCTGCGAGCTGGTCACCACAGTGTCCGAGCCGAACGTCCACCTTCTAGCCCTATCCGCAGATTCGTGCAGCCTATTCTGGCGACTCCCCAACCCGCCGTTTTCGAGGACACACAAGATGTTGAGTTCATATCAAGCACACCCGCCGTCCAGGAAGGAAGTCGCATCCGCCGCGAAGCCTTCAGTCCGAATTATTTCAAAACCTTCTTCGTCGAAGAGAAAGAGCTTGGCCGAGGCGGAAAAGGAGTTGTCCTGCTCGTCCGTCATGAGATTGATGGCTGTCACCTAGGTACGATGTGTTGCTCACGGAGAATCAAACATGACAGTCTAACTGCTCTTAGGCCACTTCGCATGCAAGCGTGTGCCAGTCGGAGACGACCATGCCTGGCTCGAAAAGGTGCTCATCGAGGTTGAGCTGCTTGCCAAACTGTCCCACCCAAACCTGGTTTCCTACCGCCACGTTTGGCTCGAGGACGTTACTTTGACGAGATTCGGCCCCAGCGTGGCATGCGCCTTTATTCTTCAACAGTATTGTAATGGTGGAGATCTGCTTCAATACATCATCGGCGAGCAGCCAAAGGAGACTACGAAAGAGCAACTCAAGGCTCAAATGCGTAGGAAGTCAAAAGGTCAACTCGAAATTCCACGCGATCAATTCGCCTCTCAACGGCTCCTTTCTTTCGAAGAAATCTTCTCCCTTTTCAAAGACATCACATCTGGACTGGCCTACCTTCATGCAGCCAACTACATTCACAGGGACCTCAAGCCGAGTAACTGCCTGCTGCATCGTGAGGGGAGTGGCATGATCTGCCTGATCAGTGACTTTGGCGAGGTTCAGTCCGAGCACATGGTTCGCAAGTCCACCGGCTCAACCGGAACCATCTCCTACTGTGCGCCGGAGGTCTTGAGGAGGGACTCTGTGGGACGCTACGGCAACTTTACAACAAAATCCGACATATTCTCTCTAGGAATGATTCTCTACTTCATGTGTTTTGGCCGGCTACCCTACCGTAGCGCCAACACTATCAACGAGGAGTTAGAAGACATTGACGCCCTGCGCGCTGAGATTACGGATTGGCAGGGCTTCCAAGATGAGCGCAGAGAGCGTCCTGACCTTCCCTCCAAGCTGTACCAACTTCTCAAAAGGCTCGTCGCACTGGATCCTTCTCAACGCCCAAGCGCCAACGAAGTCTTAGCAGCCATGAAGACCGAATCCACCGTTGATAGCGTCCCTCGAGGCAGAAGCTCAAGTCCGCCGGTGGGTCTTCACAACCGCCGCATTCAGAATCTCGATTCTCCAGTACCTCCTAGTACACCTGTCCCAGGTTCGTCATCCACGGCACCATAGTGATCACGCTTTCTATCGAACTGACTTTGTCACAGATCCTCAAAAGCAGTCCAGATTCTCATCCTCTCAGGAAGGCTATAACATTCCTAGCAGGGCTGCAGAAAATAGCTCTCCCCGTCCAAGCCTACAGACAGGTATGCAAAGGCTCTCGGATCCTAGCTCACCGCGGCATCGTCCCCAGGCCCAGACGATGGTGGCCTCGCGCAGCCAGGACAGCTTCCCTCGTCTGTCTCCGGAAATTGCTGTGTCCGAAGGAAGCGCCGAGTCTGTCAAAGATGAGCCGTTGGGTTCTCCACCGTTGCTGATGCCACCCCCTCCCGGCACAAGATTTGCCGCCTTTCAACACAGGCTAATGGTCGGATGGCTCCGAGCAGGTCATCTAATCCATCACAATGCTAGTCCTCTGCTGGTCGTCACTCGTCTTGGTCTCTTTCTCAGTAAACTTTACAGCCTTACGCGTCCTTGTTGGCCTTACATGGTGGACACAAGTGTAGGGGCGTTTCTGGTCGTAATTGCTGCGCTTGATCTCGGTCTCGCGAACACCGATACGTCGCGGGAGCTGAGATACCGGCACGATTTCAGGATACACAATGGGCTGCCATGGGCTTGGGGTGTACGTGGTACCGTGCTCCTTGCGGTCATACACCTCGTCGTCCTGTGGGCTGCCGGCCACTGGAATGCTCTGTGCACAACAGGCGGCAGCCGCTCGTGGAGCGTCCACGACAACAACCTGTTGCCATAGAACATCCGCGTATATGCATTTCTCGATGTTTGGGGGTTGAGGCAACGAGTCCAACATTCAGAAGCTCACAGTATATTCTGGTGCAAATCCGCTCAACATCAGGGCGCACATCTGGACTGGCTCAATAGCAGATATCTGTTTGCGATCTCATGTCACGGTGACAAGCGTCAACCACACGGGGCCCTTCAGCGAATCGGCACATTTGATATCGATTATGTTGATCACTAACAGGGGGTATACCTATGGCTATCTTCCGAGTAGTCTGGCTAGCACGGTGGTGTTTCATTATGAGTTTAATTCGGTATGGCGTTAGAGAGGCAATGAAAAATGGACGAATTCTCGAGAAAGATGCCAAATTGGTTTCTATAGGCCGCTTTTAACGGACGTGGCATTTATGGGCGGGCCGGCTCTAAGATGCATCGCACATGTCTCCCCGCCTTTGACCCCCATGTTGTTACGAGAGCCTCTAAGGCTCCACCAGTTCGACGGCAACGGCCGCATACAGCATAGGACAGTGAGACTCAGGATCTCTCATGAATACAGGAGCACAACACCCATGCCCCGCCCTCGCAGCATTAATGTGTCTTCGCAAAGTCTTCATTCATCACTGGTGCGGCCACAAGATCACCGAGCTCCTGGAGCCGTGTGATGGCATCGACGGCTGTCCTGGCGTCGTAAACAAGCCCGTCATTACCAATCAGTACACGTGCATCATACGGAGTTGCATCTGGTATGGGCAGTTTTGAGGGTCTTTATCCGGAAAGCATCTGCTAATGGTGAGTTTCACGGCGATTTCACGATCTTGGGCCGTCGACCTGATGATGCGATGATAGTCTGTACCCGGGTGGGAGTATCAAGTTTTCATGTGCCTGAGTTATTTTGTAAGGTAGCTAGGCCCCTGCATTAGCGGCCTGCGCTGCGAAGCCAAAAGACATTAGGAAAGGTGCCTATCTTGAAAGAGGGATGATCGTATAAGCCACTGATAGCAATCTGCTCAGTCACAACCAAGGTATATGGTTTTGAATCGTTCAATGTATCCTAAGCACCTGTCTAGTATTCTTCGGGGTATCAACACAGTTTAGACCATGGCGTTCAGGGGTATTGCCATTCAATGCTCCGGACCTACTCCCAACACCTTCTGCGCCCTAAATCAAAATCAACAGTAAATCAGCGTCTGACGTGTGAAAGAGCCAATGCTAGGCTATGTCTCTCTCGTGGAGAATCTGCCACTTGGTGTGACAGGAGTTGATGTGCGCCGCCAACGACTGTGACGAATCATACGTCTCCGTCTGTCCGCTTGAAACACAAAGAATACACCCATAGACGTCCTTGTCGGAGTGCGACTTGGCAAGAAATCGGTTCGACATGCAGAACCCCTCCTTCAGCACAATAAAGTCTTTCTTCTCGGGCAGGACTGGCTTCCAACGGTAACCGCACGTACAACTCTTATCCTCTGGAATGGGCTTCGACAAGTCAACCTGAAGCACCATTGCCTTGGGGCAGAACATACTGAAAACGCTGACTTTGGGACGGAGGACTGCCGATGCATCACCACCACCACCACCAGCCTCTGAGGGCGCCAGCGTTGACGGGGCAAAGATGGATGCCACATCGCTGACAATGAGCTTGGAGTCTGGCGGGGTCGGCGGAGGCGAAGGCGGCTCAGATTGGAGGCGGGGTTGATCGGTATAGATGGTCATCTTGTCGTCATCATCGTTGTTGGATTCGATAAAGCTTCCGGAGCGTCGGGACAACAAGCTACTTTGGCGGGACCGAGGCTTTGGGACAGGCAGGTCTTGAGGGATAGAGCGACCCACGGCCATGCGGCCGTAAAGGTCCGTTAGTGCCTTGACTGAGGCAATGCGGATAGCCTCAGATGTTTGAAGGATATCGGCGATATTCAGCGTCGCTGTCAGGCAGGTGGCGTCAACAGCCCGGCGCAAATGGGAAACGCGACTTTTGAGGTTGAACAACTGGTTGCAAAGAAGATCCGTACAAGTGACTGTGCAGTTCCGATATTAGACAGGTCCCTGGTTGTAGTCATGAGGACGATACACACCATCTCCTTTGGAGAAATCGGGCCCTACAATGGAGAAGGCAATATCAAACGTCTCTTTGATCTGTGTTTCGGCAGCGTCAAGAGATGTAGTCAAGGCGCAGGTAACGACGCCTTTCTGCCCAGCGGGACCCGTCCTCCGGTAATGGTTTTGCCGGGACCGTTTTCTTTTCCACAGCGTGTAGTGTTGCGCGCCCTCTGCGAAGAGGTCGGTCAAAGCAGACACGCATCCGATGACTGTGGTGGGTTCCATTTCGGTTGTCACCTCGACAGCATGATGGTGAGAGGATTGGGAGGGTTATTGCAGCATACACAGCAGAGTGCGACACAAAGACGATGGGATCGAAAATGAGAAGAGTCCTTGAAGGCGAGAAGAGAAATGGGAGCGCGGGCCAGGCCGGGGAGGAATGTCGGAGAGAAAACAGAAAGTGGCACAGCAGGCAAACATGCAATATAATAAGCTGAAAATTGGGGGTTGAGCTGAGGAGGGCCGGTCTGGTCTGCGGCTGCCACGCGCAGAGGGTGCAAACAAAGTGCTTATCTCCCGGAGAGGGGAAGAGGCGTCCACGACTCAAGGCAGGCTTTTGGATGATGGGGTCAGAAGCGAATTATGTCTTGGTTGTGTGAGAAGAATTGGCTTTGAGGCGGATGCGAGGTCAAGTCCCGGCTGGCTGATCGACAGCAGCTAGGCGCCCTAGCACCTGGGTAGCAATGGGGAAGCCGGCTTGGGAGCTGGGGCTGGGGCTGGAGACAAGACAAAGGGCACCTCATTTTTGGTGGGCAAAGGCAGGTCGACTGGAGGGAAAGTGTGGCGTTGGTTGGTGGACGCCAACGTGATGAGCGAACGCCAAACGGGCGCACGGGAAGTTGGGGGGCGGGTAGCCGACATGACATGATGCATGGCATGGCGTTGGGACGTGGGAGAGAGCAGGGACAAGGACAAGCGTTGCAGTCGGCTGTTGGTGAGAGTCATGTGTCCATGGACACCACCATCTCCGATTCCTCTTGCTGGCGAAGATGCTACTGGTGATGATGGTGATGCAGCGGGCAGAAGATGGCCGATGGATGATGGTGTGTGTGGACGAACGGCGGCTTGGATCCCTTACCTACTTAGGTATTGCCTAGGTATTACCTACCTTACTGAGAGGGTCATTTAATTAGTTGCCAGGCTAGGTATCGTGGTATCTAATGAGATGCAAAGACGGACGCAGGGCGGCTGAAGCACGGAAGGATTCCAGGGTTGTGGTTCACTAGGTAGCTGGACGATTTCTGCGCTCCTGGATGCAAGGAGTCGAAGTCGTAGTGGAGGTGTCTCGGCGTTTCGTGTCATTTTCGAGGGAGTTGGGACAAACATATGTCAAAGAATAGTGCCTGCAGAAGTTCGGACGGTCCACGAGGCCGGTGCGATCGATGACGGTGGCATCCGTGCTCCTGGGGATTGAAAGACATCCACACGTGGAAAAGACACACCAACGTTCGAACAACAGAATCAGAAGTAAGGAGAAACCTGGAGGTGTTTTGTAAGGCAAAAGTGCATCCATACTCCGTACCTGTCTAGGCACCTCCGTAGGTAAGTCAGGTAGGGAGAAAGTAGAAACCATGATCCATGCAATTGATTTTGGCGAGTCTGGCGGGCGCTACGGCACGCTAGAGAGGCTCCACTAATGTCGATCCGCCAGCGCCGACGCCGAAGGTGACAAGTCGAGTACCCGACCTACCTAAGAAAATGCCAGCTGGCAACCCATGTCGCGGGCAGCACAGCACCTCACATCCAAGGTAGCTGCTCCCGTCATGCAGCACTTCTCTCCATGCTGCGTCCCGTCCCCAAAAGTATCACACACCGACATGCCTCTTCCTCCGCGCAATCGTCAGGCATGCGACAGATGCCACAGCCAAAAGCTACGATGTCCGAAGCAGGCCGGCTCTGCCGTATGTGCTCGGTGCTCCAAGGCCAGCGTTGCTTGTGTCTACAGTCCCGCTGGTCCACGTCCGACAACTCAAGACTTCGCCATCCTGGAAGCCCCTCTCGTCGCTGAGACCTCAGCTTTGGACTGGGAACCCTTCTCTTTTGACCAGCTGCTGACTTCTCAGCCAATATCCCAACTCAACATCCCTCTCAGCGAAAACACTCGCGAAGCCCAACTGGATCCGAGAGCCCGATGCTTCGAACAGTTGTCCGCCATGATGCTCAAGCTGAACGAAGCTTTCAATGGCCTGCCTCCAGTCTCGAAGCTACACGTTGCCGCTTCCGACTTGGACTTGTTCTGTACCCAAGTCAACGAATCGGACGGCTTGCGCCGCTCACTCGAGTTGATGCTTGGCCAAACCCAGCAGTTGATCGAATTATATCCCGAGGCTATTCGCTTGGCCGTCGCGTACGATGCAGCCCCTGAATGCATCCTTCCCAATTGTGTCCATACCTTCAAGTGTCATGCTGATTTTGGATCAGACCCATTTGAGGCGGCCGACCGCTCGTCAAGCGTCGACTTCACCTTGCTCAACCAGCTAATCTCATGTCACTACCGCCTTCACGACATTACAGAACTCATATTCTCGCACGCTCAAGTATGCTTTAAAATATCTGCCGCCTCCGCAGAATACGACGGCGTTGAGAACCATCGATTCGATATACCCGAACTTCGCATCGGTTCCTTCACTCTTTCCCCTGGATCCTCGCCTTCTGTCATGTCCGCCATCCTGGTTGATCTTCAGTCCTCCCTAGCCCGCTGCATCCCCAAGATTCAAGCCTCGTTAGAGGGAAGGGCCGGCAGAGAGTGCCAGGTACTGTCTTTGCAGTGCGACATGTTGAAAGAGCGTGCAGACTCCATTGTGGATCGCCTCACGAAACTCAGGGCCGCCGTCATCGAAGCCGGCATCATAACATGAGGCCCGCACTCCACCCATCACCTGCACAACTCCTCTGAGATGCCCCAGAATCATCCAGGTTACTGGAGATACACCAAGAGAGCCTCGCTGGCCCCAACGCTAAGGGTGACTTTACCCCCCGAGACCGCCGCTGTCTCGAATGTCTCCGTGCCGCCGGTAATGCAAGTGCCGTTGTTGAAGTATTGGCCGCCGATCGACGCGTTCCCGCCTCGATCTTGTCTTGCTTCGGCGCTGGCCGCAGTAACCCGCTTGGACCGGACACTCGTCGCTGACAGCCCGCTGAGAACGAAAGACTCGACAGCTCGCGTGCCGGAACCGCTGTAATAGTTGGAATTGTACAGAAGAACTCGAAGTGGGGCTCCCGCGGCGTCATAGGTGGCATACGCTGCAAAGGCAGACTTGCCATCATCCAAGGCGGCGACGTGCTTAGCCCCAGCCAGAAAAGCTGTTGCCGTGTATGCGCCGACATAGGGGTTGCCCATGGAGTATCTTCCAAAGAAGCTGTAGGGGTTATTGCCAATGGTTCCGTGATGGAAGTATACGCGGGAGACGTTTGACGTGGCTAGGCGCACCGCATAGTCCATCACCCACAAGGCAGCCCCAAACGTCGGGGACACGTTTGCCGCACCTCCTCCAGCGACTGTTCAGAGGTTAGCATGTTCAGTGGCTCAATCAAGGGGAGGGCGTCATCTCACCTGAGTTGGTCTCTCCAAAGACATACGGCTTGTTCACCGCCAAGGCACTGGCGATATCGCGATCGAATCTTACACCGTTCAGCATAAAGGCTTCGACGCATTTGCGCACAGAAACTTACAAGTGGATGTTGGTTGCAATGTTCGCGTGAGACATCAAGCTGGATACGGTGCCGCCGGGGTAGTTGTGGTGGGCGTACGTCTTCACATACTCCCTCACCGTGGCATTTCCGCTGGCAATCAACTCTTCGGCCCCCCACGTGGGAGGAAGGGAGTTTGAGTTTCCGGCTTGGATGATATTCTTCTTGCCAATGGCATTTCCGACGATGATATCCCAATTATTCTGCGACGCGGCATCCACGGCAGGGTTCCACGTGCCAGAAGCAATCGGCTGGACTCCCGACCAATCTGAGATAAACTTTGTCAGTTTGATTAAGAATGGATCCCGGACTTCGAACTTACACTCAGGCTCATTTCCGAGTTCAATCGCATAGAGATTTTTCATCTCTGCGACGGCGACCTTGGCTGCTGCAATGGTGTTGTCGATGTTGTTCTTGCCTCTGTTCAGTCCCAGAGTCACGTCGCCACCGTATGTCGCAGCCAGCTTCATGAAGTTCGGGCCGAAGGTCAGAGTTGCGGGCGCATCGTTTGGGCTCGCAACAGTGTACACAACATACGCTGACGAAGAGGCATCATAGGAGGCTCGGTCCTGGGTTGTCCCGCCGATCCGGATAGGTGGCCAGGCACCGCTCAGCGTCTTGAGGTTGGTCAGACATTGGTTTGTTGCGGTGACGTTCTGGAAGTACGAGGGGAAGGCAAAGAACTCGAATCTGGACGGATATCAGCAAACTAGCACGGCGCAAAATTCAAGTGGACTGACGAGATTCCGACGGGTGCTGCTTCGAGAGGCGCATAAGAGAGGCCGCCGGTGTTCACTTTACTGGGCACAGTGAAAGTGGCGGCCGAAACAAGTTGCGCCGTTGACGCCAGAAAAGCGAGCGAGGGACCAGACAACATGGTTGGAGAGCCTATGGGCGCGACTGAGCGAGTGCCAGCGATGATTGCGCGATCATATGTCCGGCGTTACAGTCAACGTCTTCGGGGCCTTCGGAGCTACTTATACTACTACTCTGATCTCGCCAGCCAGCATGCAGATAAGCCATGCTACAAAGGATCTGCCCATCATCAAGCCTTAATTTTTCCACCACATTAATGAGGTCTTTTCATGACAAGCTCAATACTTGACGTGCCTCAGCCGATAGCCCTTGCATAAGCGCTGGCCTCCTGCCGGTCCGGCCCCCTCATTGCAGAAAGATTGAGCTTGACTCGAACAACGCGTATTACGAGCATCTAGGCTCCGACACCCCCTATTGGAGCTTTTACCACATGCCGTTTTGCCGAGAGGTCAGGGTTCACGATGTCTGCCACGAGGGCGGCGAGGGGCGCAAGGCCACAAGCTTTCCCCGCACCTTAACCCGTCGACTTAAGTAATCAAGCTACGGTAGTGGGTTACATCGTGTCCTTCGCCACGGGGATCAGCCGAAAATGGCAGGATAGAAGTTCTTCACCTAGCCGCACCTGGCTGCGAAAAGCTCTGGCTGCGAAAAGCTCTGGCTGCGAAAAGCTATGGAGATGACCAGTGTTGCAGGCCCCCTTCGACCTTGTTTGAACAGGATGAGAATGGGCTCCATATTCTGCTGAGTGTAGCGCCCAGATTCTATGAAGGAAGCTGACAACAGGCGGGGTCTGATTTCTCGATATTGCACGTTGTGTCGCCCTGGCTCGAGGACCCACAGATATCAAGAGCACAACAGTTATCACATCAGAGTTCGGGTCTTGAATGTGACGCGAGTATCATACAACTCTGATTTGATGTCTCCCTAATATGGCTAACTAACCATTGTCTCTGAATTCTGGGTGCTATTGGACGATTTGAGGACGTCAAAATGCCCTTGGCTACACCAGTCGACATTCTTGCTCCCTTTGGGAAGATCTGAAGGCTTTTCCCACGACCTGCCGCTCGCACTGCAACCTAACACACCAGTGGATCGCCTCCCGGGGTTTTGTAGTTTTGGGGAACGGGGTAATAGATGTTCACGACGAGACCCGGGTCGTTGGGGCTATATGCGCCAGGGAACGACATCAAGTTAGGCTTGTACGTGCCTGTGCCGCCGCTGACACGGAGCTGGGCGCACGAGATGTACAATTGAGCGCCGCCGACGCTACCAGCGCTGTGAAGAGCAATGTGTTCGACGCGGAGGAAGTACTCGCCATCTGCGAGGCACCTGGGAATCTGGACGTTAAGCGTCGTTTTGCCTGGGGCATAAATGTTAATACGCGCGAGAGAGGCACAACAAGAGATGAAGGTGCTTGCCTGAAGTGGGCCAGGTCAGTCCGTTAGAGGTGACTGTCGGGCCGTCGTTGTAGACCTTGAACCACACTTTTCCGGAGCCATCGAAGTTTGTGATGGAACCAGAAGGCGCCTTGGCCATGTAGAAATTGACTGGTCCGGGATGGGAGACGGACGCCTTGGCGTTGTAGCCTTTGAGAAGCTGATTGTCAGCGAGCTTGCCTTTGATCGTGAATGCCAAATTGAACATACCAATCGTGGATCCTGCAGTCACATCCAGCACCGTGGCACCCTCGTTACCTGGGGCTAGCTGGTAGCATGTCATCTGCTGGGAGGTCACGTCCGTGACCGGTCCGTTGGACTGGTAATTCGTCGTCTTGCGGACGACTTCCCAATCTTGTGTGGTCTTGCCATTGTAAGTGACGGATGGAAATACATCTGAGAGGGTTAGTAAGTAGCACAAGGTGCCCCCAAGATGATATGAATGTCGTACAGTGAGCAGAGGCAAGGCTGGCCAACGCGACAACCACCGAGGCCTTCATAGTGACGCTTAGGGGCTGTTGTTAATAGGTGGCTTCGAAAGAGGAGCAGCAGAGGATGGAAGATAATGTGCATCAATACGCGCAGGAGTTTCACCCGAATCCGTCACTAGATGCTGAACTTATACCTATGAAGAGCTACAACGCAGATCCTGAACAAAAGGGAGAAAGTACGGCATCTACATATCAAATGACCAGACCTAAAGCACACGTACCATGGTTGCGATGCTACCGGCGATAGAACAGCCGGCGGGTAAAGTCGCTCATCCAGTCAACAGTGACCTGCAATATCATCCGAGGTGTCCTAACAAGTTGATCCAGCCGGCAGTGGCATTCTATATTGCTAATATCTGACTGGAGGTTGCGGGCAAGACGCATGGAGGCATGGGATTTGTTGAACTGGTTTTCGTGTAAACGACATTTGGTTTGGAAATTGATCCCGACGCCCGACAGCCAATTGTGATGCAAACTATCTTGAAATTCGCGCTTCTTTCTTGCGCATACCCCTTCTACGAGAACGCCGGATAATATACAAGTCTTGTGTCCCTCCTGTTTGCTAACGTAAAGCCAATCTGACTATGTAGGACCGGCCACCTTAACTCGTCAAACATCTTGTGACGCTGTTTGATCAGTCATCGTCGGTGTATCTAGGCCCGCTGGCCGCCGGTGTCTCGGGCGCGCCATAGGCAGCAGGGGTGGGGGCGCCGTAATAGCCAGAAGAGGAGGCGAAACCACTGGCCGCCGGAGTGGGAGCGCCGGCCGCTGGTGTGGGGGCCGAATCAGCAGCCCAGCCTCCTTGCCATCCTCCACCAGGAGTCGGAGCACTCGCGGCCGCTGGGGTGGGTGCCGAATAGGCACCGGGTGTGGGAGCATTGAGAGCACCGGGTGTGGGTGCACCCAGGAGGTTTCCACCCGGCGTCGGCGCGTCGTAGCCAGAGTTGCCTGGGGTGTATCCCCATGAATCACTACCGCTGGCGCCGGGAGTGGGTGCAGAGCCTCCATAGGCAGGCGTCTTCGAGCCTGAGCCCCAGGCATCGCTCCCGCCGTAAGCTGGCGTCTTCGACCCCAATCCAAAAGCGTCATGTGCAGGTGTCTTTGCGCCTGACTGCCATGCCGGAGTCCTTGAACCTCCGCCATACGCGGTTCTGTTACCATCGCCATAAGCAGTCCTTGAGCCGTCAGCCCAGGCGGGAGTGCGAGAGCCGGATCCGTAGTCCTGGCTGCTAGACTTCCAAGCAGGTGTTCTGCCGCCAGTCGGTGCAGGAGCTTGATTTATATTAGCAAAGTAATCATGGCATCTCATGTTGGGCATTGACTCACTTCGTGAACCCCACGCGGGCGTCCTCTCCGCGCCGCTAGAGGCGACTGGTGTACGTCCTCCTTGCCAGTCTCCACCACGCCCGCCTCCAGGAGCGCCGCCTTGGCCCGGTCTTGGACCCCGTCCATTGATGTCGATCTTGGCACCGGTATTCTTGTCCTTGAAGCTAAGATGGTCCTTGGGCACCGTGATGGTCTTGCTCTTGGTGTGCAGCTCAACACGGGCGTGAGTTTCCGTGGCATCTTTGACGATACCCAAAAGACCCTTGTAACCACCCTTCCGAATGATGACAGTTTGGTTGATAGAACGATCACGGCCGAAGGTCTTGGGAGGTGCCATCTTGCTCTCTGCGCCGCCAGGGTTGCGCTTCATCGCCGGGTTCATTTGATCCAAGTTGGGACCCGCTGAAAGCACGCGTCCACCCTTGGCAGCGATAGTTGTGACATTGCTAGCCTTGGTAACGAACACACCGGCGTTCTCGTTATTGTTGTTGCTGTGCAAGAATACGTATGCGCGGTGGATGTGAATGATTTTGCCCTGCCGTTGTTGGGCGCCATACTCCCTGACAACATCATCGAGCCGGATCTCGGAGCCGTTTCTATCGGCAGCCACAGCAACCTTTCTCTTCGGGAGTTTGTTGGCAATTTGGGATGGCATGACCTGTCTAGTGTCTCCGTTTTGATCGAGCACAACCACTGACTCGCGATCGACCTTAACGATGCAGCCCACAGTGGTCGGGTCCAGCTGAACGAGGTCAAAGAGCTCGTACTGACCCAACGCACCTTGGCCGCCAATATCGCTGGCTTCACGCAGATCTTTGCTGAAGACCGTGACCTCCGTGTTGGTTTGGTCGGTCAAGAAGGTTACTCGGTCTTCGGAAATCTTGACAACCATACCAACTTCGTCGCGGAATCGGCTGCCGCTGGTAACCTTGACATGATCTCCGATCTTGAATCTCTTTCTCAAGCCCTTGGTAGGGACCTCAATGACCTGACCTACGAGGTCTCCCTCCGTAACCTGCATCGTGACGATGTCGCCTTGGACGTTTGTTGCTTTTCCAACGACGCCCTTTTGCTCACCATCGTAGACTTCGATGACATCGCCGGGAAGATAAGTGACGTTGATGTTGCTGTCCTTGAGGCTGGCAGCAAGGGCTTTGAGATCGAGATTTTCGGTACCATCCTCAGCGCCGGAAGCGAACCTAGTGACTTCCTCTAAAGTGGGGTTGACGTCCGTGACAACTAGCTGCTGGATCTTGATATCCTTCACCTGGAAGCCGTTCTCAAACTCATCACCCATGTATGTCCAAACCTTGGTCGTCGGGTTTCCTTGGATATGCCGGGGGTGACGTTTTCGGGCCTCCGTCTCGTTGAATAAACGCTGTGGCGGTCTTGGTCCAGGCACGCCAACGGGGCGCTTCCGTTTGCCATCAGAGGTAAGGGCGGCAAGGGCATCATCTCTCATGCCGTAGTCAAGACGCGGGATGAAGCGGACTCGGGCTTCAAGACCATTTTCGGTAACGTCAATGACTTGCGCCAGGTCACCGGCGTGCTTGGCTGGCTTGCGAAGCCGGACCCAGGCACCGGGCTCGAGAGTGGGCGTCTTGGTCACACGGAGCAAGTCGGGCATGTCCTTGATGTCGACGAGAATCATCTTTGACCGAGGGTAGACGTTGAACATGCCGTCTAGCGCAACCATAATATCCGTTGAACGATTGGCCTCGACGTAGATGTAGCCTTTCATGACGGAGGTTGGGCCGCCACGTTCGAAAGCCGAAATGATAGCCAACTCATCCTTGGTGCCCATCCGCTCATCGATACGCTTCATGATAGAGTAGACGACTTCTCGCTCCTTGCCCTCCTTGCACCTAACAGCCCAGATCGTAGGATCCTCCACACTAGGCATCAGGAGGCGCTTGGGGACAACAGTGGAATCGCCGAAGCCCTTGTTGGGGCGACGGTTACCGTAGCGCTGTCGAAGAATTTCGGCCTGCTTCTCAGCATCCATGCTGGACTCCATCTCGCGTCGGCGATCCAGCTCGCGGTGCCTTCGGTCATCGTCGAGGCCTCCACTTTCGGCAATGTCGTCAGGATGAGCGTTGTCGATGAAGTCCTCTATCTCTTCACCGTCTTTCTCCTCATCCTCGCCATCTTCTTCGTCCTCGACCTCGGCCTCGATATCGAAGAAGACGGCGCGACGATCCCTGCGACGCTTGCGACGATGTCCCTGTAGAGTAAAGAAAACATTAGCAGTGTATCAATCTGCGGAGGAGACGCAGAACAAGTCGGCCAGATGCTCGAAGCTTGACGTATCCCCCTGTTAAAAGGAACAAGGAAAGCGAACTGCGAAAGCGGAAGGCTTACCTGCTGAACATCATCCTCGTCTTCTTCATCCTCGTCGTCCTCTTCGTCATCGTCGTTTTGGCCACCCTCCTCATCGTCTTGCTCATCATCCTCATCGTCATCTACTCGTCGAGATTTGGGGGCAGCGGCGGCGTCGTCATCGTCAGCAGCAGGGCTGCTCTCTCGCGCATCGCTACCCGCATGTCGCTGACCAGAGTTGTGGCTAGGTTCGTCGTCAGAGAGATCGGCAGGCGCAGGGTTGAAGTCATCCTCGTCGTCCGAGTCATCGTATCGATTGTGGTCGTTCGAAGCCATCTTGAAGGCAATTAGAAGAAGCGAACGTTGTTGGCCTCAAGTTTTTGGATGGCGACGTCAGGCGAAGACAGGTTTCGTTTGGCTCTGCTGGAGCAGAGTTGTAGAGAAGAGAAGGCCACTTCGAGGCTGGCACTCTTCCAAGGGGCTCGTTTGTATTAAATATTTGGACGTAAGAAAGGACGACCGAGGGAAAGGAGCTACCATACAGTCGACGGCTGGGTTGGGAAGGCAAAGGATTGAGAATAAATTGTAGGACGAGTCGAGGACGGAAAGCTCAGCCATGGTTACCTTCACGCGAAGTAGGCCCAGATTCCGTCTGAAAACGGTTTAGCGTCAAAAGACACCTGAGGCAGGCTGGTTGTGGTTCGCCTGTGCAGCGTGCTGCAGGCAATCAAGGTGCCCCACAAAAGTCCATGGGAACCTAAGAATAAGTGCTGAGGTCGGTATTCGTACCTTACCTTAGGTAAGGCACCTGAGTACGTGTCTTTAAGTAAGCCCAGCTGAAAAGGCGCCGCGAGCACCTAAGGTAGGTAGCAAGGGATACCAGGGGAGATTTACCGAACCACAGGTCGTTCTCCCCGACACAGTCAGTCTAAGAGAGGTTGAGCCGGCCCAAGCCTCGGCCTCTTTATGTCCAGCAGCAGTGGGAATCTTTCAAATAGAATAGCGACCTCCGCACGAGGATGCTGCGTAAAACTTCCCCAGTCTCGAAGCTTCAATCACTGATGGCATCTTAATGTTCACTGCCGGTTTTCGTTCGATATTTCAGTGTGCCATTGCTCCCCGGATGCTACTAGTTAAGGTAGTTTTTGTAGCAAGCCTGTTATGTCGCCAAGTTCAAACATGAAAGCGATAGTAATCAACGACTTTGTCAAGGTCAGTGGGTCGCCCACAATGTTAACAGACCAGACTGATCGAGTTCAGGACTTTGACGAGATCACGGTCGCTGAGGTCGAGAGACCTGTTCCCAATTCGAATGAGGTGCTCGTCCAAGTGAAGGCTGCCGGCATCAATTATGTGGATACGCT